GAAAATAGGATCCCAAATAACTCAATGACTTTCCAGTCAATTTCTGCAATTCATTGGTTTTCAAACCACCATGGTTTTAAATCATAACCCCAGTAATACGTTATTCTCATTTATATATATAACTCAAACAAAGGTTTCACAAAAACAGTACTTGCCCTTAATGTCTGCAATGCACTGATTATTTTCTATCCTGCTCAATTTTTTAAAATGCAATCATGAGGCCTCTGGGTGGCTCAGTCGGTTGAGCATCTGACTCTCGGTTTCAGCTCAGGTCATGATCTCACGAGTCATGAGATCGAGCCCCATGTCAGACTCTGTACTCAGTGTACTCACTGGGGAGTCTACTTAAAGATTCTCTCGCTCTGCCCCTCCCCACTAAAATAAATAAATAAATCTTAATTAATCAAATGCAATCGTGACCATTACGCTGATTTCTCTAACCACTAATGAACCACAACACCCAATTTGAAAACTACACTAAAAAGTACTGGTTCAGGGGCGCCTGGGTGGCTCAGTCCATTGAGCATCTGACTCTTGGTTTACGCTCAGGTTATGATCTCTTGGGTCGTGAGACAGAGCCTCATGTTGAGCTCTACACTCAGTGGGAAGCCTGCTTTAGGATTCTCTCTCTCTCCCTCTGCCCCCTCCCCACATTCACGCACTCTTGTGCATGCGCGCTCTCTCTTATTTATAAAAAAATAAATAAATCTCTTTTAAAAAGATGCCAAAAAAATAAGTGTTTATTCACCATAACTATAAATACCATGTCATGAAATTTTGTGGCTTTCTATTATAGACACTTACTGATTCTTTTAGGAAAGCTATACAATGTAAAAATATTTAATGAAAGAAAAAGACAGCATGAAAGAATATTATTTTAGAATATTATCAAGGGGGTAGAAAAGCTAACAGCGGACCAAAAAAGATGCTCAAATAGCTTTAAAAATTAGAAAGATCTGTAGCAAGATGAACTGATGACTTTATGTTCAAGGATGCTTAAATATCATCCTTTTCAATAGTTTAGACATTCTTTCTGTAACTTCAAATAAATTGCAAATCTTATCCTTTCTTTAGAGGTAATATAAAAATAGTTAACACTCTCAACTGGGAATGATAATATATCAACTCAAAGGTGGGAGAATTCCTTACCCAAACTGCAGGTGTTTCTTGTTTCTGCTCACAGATAGTCTTAGTCTTTAAGAGAACATGTTTCCAAGAAAAAACACAGAGAATTGTGATTTAAGGAAAGAAAATACTAAACATGTAAAAGGGGGGTTGACAATTAAGTAGAAAAACAGCAAACACTTATGGGAATGGAAAAAATATATACTGTAATAAAAATAACTTTTCCTGGTTTTTTTTTTTAAGACCACATAGTAACCTCAGATAAAGAGAATCCAGAAGAGCACTTTCAATCCACTGTACCTCAAATCATAACATTAGAGTGAATCATTTTTTGGTGACTCCCCAGAATAGTTGATTTATTTATTTTTTTTACTTTTTTTAAATTTAAATTCAATTAATTAACACATAATGTATTATCAGTTTCAGAGATAGAGGTCAGTGATTCATCACCCTTATATAATACCAAGTGCTCATTATATCACATGCCCTCCTTAATGTCCATCACCCAGTTACCCCATCCCCCCACCCAACTCCCCTCCAGCAACCCTCAGTTTGTTTCCTCTGATTAAGAGTCTCTTATGGTTTGGCTCTCTCTGTGATTTCTTCTTGTTTTATTTTTTCCTCTCTTCCCCTTGATTCTCTGTTTTGTTTCTTAAATTCCACATATGAGAATACTTCCTTTAAATATCCTTGTGATTCTGGCACAAGAAAATCTTGGATGATAAGGGTCTTCAGGTCAAAGGCACTTAAAGGTTAAGCAAGTAGCATATTGCACATGGGGGGGTGGGGGAGGGAGAGACATACTTCCAAATGGCCTAAAATTATTTCAGCCAGGCCAAACCAGGATTCAAGATGCCAAAAAATAAAAATGAAAATATCCTCCCATTTCAAAGAGAGGAATGTTGGTTAAGCTGCAAGCTGTTAGGAACAACAAATCCAGCCAAGGTGGTATTCTACATTCATGCAAATGGCTGATACAGACAAAAATATGGAGAAACACTATTATTTGGTATACAATTTACTGGCAAAATTAACAATTCAGTGGTTTTTTAGTAACTTTCAGTGCCCATTTACTCATTTCCTTTCTCTAACTTCAAACAGCCCAGGAATCTTTTATAAAGAAAAGGGAAAATAATCTGCAGTAATAGGAGTTACTGGGGCATATGCTCACCATTTGACAGAATATTTCATCAGAGGCAAACAGTTATCAAAGTTAGCTATAAACTAGCACCCACAGTTCCTCACCTAGTACTCTACTATCCCAACAAGATTTTAAACATGTCTTTACTCATTTCATTTTTATGTAAACAAGTTACAACAAACTCACTTTTTCACCATGTAGATTTATTCTGAAAAGCAATCTTGAAAAATACCTAACCTAATGGGACACAGCAGCTGTTTCTAAAGTGATTTTTCCATCTTTTAAAAGCACATTGTATACTTTATAGTATACTTTAAAAGAGTATTTAAAATCACAGTGGTTTTGGCCAAAATAATCTTCATGTTGTCCTATACATCTCATACCTAATGTTGCAACAGTGTATTTCTATACTCTATTTCCATACAGGAACAAAACCCACAAATAGATCTGTAGAGTTCAATGACTTTTCTTGTGTATTGCAAAAAGAACCCCAGATGTTACTTCCACAAGCAAATGTTACTAGTCATTCCTTTCAAATGATGTTGAGGAAATTAAGAATATGGGGATGAAGATAAATAGGGGAAAAGGGAGTATTTTCTTTACACACTTGAAAATACCCTCTTAATATTTTTGAAAGCAAAAAGCAAAAATGACAAAGCTGTATAAAGAGTAAATGGACACAGATCACCAGAGAAACAATAAATAATTATTACTATAAAAAAATCAAACTACAGCAAGTACAAAGAAATACAAAGACCCCAGCTAAACTGTCTTCACTGGTCATTTTTTAAATTTTATATTTATTAGGGACACGAGACGGTTCTTTTGAGTAGTTGATGTGAGCCCCTTAACTCAAAGGTGCCTGGCCTTCTCCCACAGCCACACTTTACTGAATTATAAGGGGAAACTAGCTCCATATGGAGACAGTCATCAATCTAATATACATTTTGTCTCACTGCTTTCATCTTTACTATAAAACTTAAACTCTCACCAGTAAGGAAGCATTTCTTCATATCTGTAATTGTAGACATGCAGAGTAAAACAGCAGAATACATTCATTTAATGGCAGACATACTGTTAAAAGTTGGATAAAAACCAAACTTACCAATATTTTTTTTCCTTTTAAAGACCTAAAGTATTTGACAAATTCCAAACTTTAACAGATACAAACTGCCACCTTCCCCAACTCCCCCAACTCCCTCCCACCTATTCCCTAGATTAGGCAAAAATGTAAAGGACTAAAGCCTAAATATGATTATTTTCTTGCCCAAATAGCATAATGAATAGTGAAATCTGACAAAGATTCTCTCCTTGACCAATCTCTAGCTAGGCTCTTCTGAGCCCTCTTCTCAACTAGGACTCAACCTTGACCTATAAAAACTACAGACTCTTAACACAGATGGTTTCTTCTACCCCTTCCCCAATCATTAAAATATTTAAACAAACACTAACACATTTTCTAACAACTCAAGGCCCCATCCCTAGGATGACCTTAGCCCCTCTTAAAGTGCCTGCCTGAGAAAGCTCAAGGCTGCCAAAAGAATATAAGGTTTTTCTAGCTGTAACACCGGTCTGCAAGGCCTCCGACCACCCCCTCCTTAGACCATTTACTAAAAATGATTTGCAACTGTGAATCCTTCCTCTGTCCCTTTGAGATGCATATGCATCTCCTACATCTCAGGAGTCCCTATTTCAAGGACATGAAAGCCATTATTTTAAAAGGTCACCATCAGGAATGGTAGGGCCTCAGGCTCAGTCTCAGTAGAAAGACAGAATCCTAACTGCCAGGACAGTCAGCTAGTAGACACAACCAACCTATTCATCATTTACACTGAGAAGCCCTTTATAATTTTTTTACTTCCCTGACTCTACTGAGCCAAGCTAGCATCCCTCCCTACTCCCTCATTCTCCATTTAAAATACCCAGTTACCTCTGCACAAACTGAAGTTGTGTTCAGTTCAAACTGAACTCTTCCCTATTGCTATATATTCCTGATTAAAATCTGTCCTTAGCACTTCAAGTAGTGTCCAGCTTTATTCTTGACAAAATGAATAGAAAAGGAAGGTTAAACATATCTCAGTAAAGACTCAGTTATTTTGTATGAAATCATTAGACATAAAATTCTTTTTAAAAAATGAAGGTTTAAGTTCATGAAGGAGTCATAATTTAAGGAGTCAACCAATCAGCAGTTGGGGGCTGGAAAAGGCCCTTGGCAAACATCAAGCCCAAGCACTTCATGTTATAAATGATGACTCTAAGGTCCAAAGAGATTAAGTGATTTACCCAAGGTGATTTCAATAAGGGACTGGATTCTAGGGCTAATTCAACATGATTCTCTTCCTGACTCCTACATGAAAATATCCTTTCTCTTGTATTCTCACTGGTAAAAACAATATTCACTACTAATATTTCAAGTCAAGTTCAGACATAAACATGTTATTACCTATTACAACACAAGTTTTTACAGTTCCACTATATGCCCACAACTGTACGCTATGTAAAGTTTGTTGGGTGCAAGTACACAGACGATTTCATTTCACTCAGGGAAGGCTGTTTCAATAGTCCTAGGCAAATATATGAAGCATCTTGGTAAGGAGAAACTACTTTCACACACAAGCAAAGAAAACAAAACCCCATGCATAAACACAAAGGAAGGCCAAATAATTTAGATCGTCTTAAAAACAATCAAAAGAAGAAAAAATAAAATAAATAAAAAACCCTTTTCTGCACTTACCAGCAAAGCATTTGGAACAGAGGTTCATAGTCTTGCTGGACCTGGGGCAAAAAAAAAAGAAAAAAAAGAAAGAAGAGCTAAAAATTCAGTATTACTCTAATGAAAACATAAAGATGTTTGAAATGTAAGTAAGAATCTCCTGGCCAGGCAACTGAACTAATTACCTAGTGCTAAGCCCCTAATCAGCCACCCTCTCCCACAAGGAAATGAAAACAAAACAACAAAAACAAACACACACTTTGTTATCAGTGTGTTAACAAATGCTTTACTTTTTGTGATTAGCAAAATTCAGAAATAATGTAGCAGCAAGTTCAGAATTACTCTAACATGCCCAGAAGATGACACAGGAATCATTCTGTCCCACAAGATTACCACATTCCCTCTGTTCACACTGGAACATATACCGCAATCACTACAGACGATGAAAATTTTGTCTGTAAAGGAGTAAAACTTTCTGCTCAGATACACACTCATGTATCTCCATAACATTATTTGAATTTTTATCTCATCTTCTTTCCCTTCATTCTAGTCCTATTTTCAGATCCTGGTCACATCATGACCCTGTTGTTTAAAATTCGTTCTTCAGAGGTTCCCAATCAAATTATTTTTCATGTCTTTTCATCTGTTAATAATAGCTACAATTCACTGAATACTAACTTTGATGGGCACTTAACATACATTATCTTATTAATCTTTCCACCATCCGTGAGATGGGTATTACCATACTGTTTTGCTTCTAAAATGCACTTAAAAAAAAAAAACCACATTAAAATTTCTACAACCAGGTAACATCATATGACTGGTTACAAATGATGACTAAATTAATGAGGAAATGTTCCTACCACCTCCTCCTAGGTGTTATTAAATTGAGGGATCTTAGGAAATCAGGGACAGTCTTATCTCCATTTGACAGGCAAGCAGTTCGCCCAAGGTCACAGAGCTGGGGAACTGCAGAGGAAATGCATGACCCTGGCCAAAGACCATCCTTTTTTTATTATTATTATTATTAACATATAATGTATTATTTGTTTCAGGGGTACAGGTCGGTGATTCATCAGTCTTACATAATTCACAGTGCTCACCATATTACATACCCTCCCCAATGTCCATCACCCAGCCATCCCGTCCCCTCCCACCCCCCTCCACTCCAGCAACCCTCAGTCTGTTTCCTGAGATTAAGAGTCTCTTATGGTTTGTCTCCCTCTCTGTTTTCACCTTGTTTCATTTTTCCCTCCCTTCCCCTATGATCCTCTGTCTTATTTCTCAAATTCCTCATACCAGTGAGATCATATGATATTTGTCTTTCTCTGACTGACTTATTTCACTTAGCATAACACCCTCTAGCTCCATCCATGTTGTTGCAAATGACAAGATTTCATTCTTTTTGATGGCTGCATAATATTCAAGTGTGTGTGTGTGTGTGTCTGTACACACACCACGTCTTCTTTATCCATTCATCTGTTGACGGACATCATGGCTCTTTCCATGGTTTGGCTATTGTGGACATTGCTGCTATAAACATTGGGGTGCACGTGCCCCTTCGGATCACTACATTTGTATCTTAGGGGTAAATACCCAGTAGTCAAAGGCCATCCTTTGTTCACAGCATAACACAGCACCTTGCACTACAAAGCAGCCCAGGCACAACATGGTGGGCAATCGGTAACTCTTCTATTAAGTTCTTCTCATTGCTGCTTCCGTTCCCGATCCTCTCCCAAGTGGACTCATTCCTATAGCTTTCTTCCCCACACCTCCTAGAATACTCTATGTTGGATAAGCTGACCTATTTACAGCCTCATTCCTCAGCAACTCCCCTCCTTGTCTTTGCCCAGAGGTGCTCCTATACAGAACAAGCCAACTTTCTTCTGCTCTCCCTAGTAAATTCTACAATTAATGAAAGCCTCCCTCAGGAGTATTCCCTGACGGCTATGGTTGTTTTCCAATGTACTGGAACCCAAGACCTAAAGGCAAGTAATTATCATAGTGACAAAATTGGGGAGGGGGGTAGGAGGTGGGGGCCCATTGCTTCTCTTTCCCCAAAAGACATGCTATGTTAACAGGTGAATCTCTTTGAGGATTCTGCTTAATACAAAGACATCAAAGGCAGTAAGGAAATTCTGAGTATCAATAAATGAATAAAAATTAATAAAGAGACAAAAAGATGTTATTATAATTGTGGAATCTAACTTTTATTACATGGCTAGTATGTGGTAAGTATACCAGATGCCTTCAACCCCATTTTACCAAATGAGGAAAGCTTCCAGAGTGTATATAATTTGCCAAAGATTACATAGCAAGTAAGTGGATGAACCTGGTCTGCTAACTCCAAAACCTGTGTTCTTTTCACCATGCCATACTAGGGCCTCTGCCCCCAATACAGAAGCTGAAGGATACACATAAACCCTGAGTCAGCACTCTGGTAATTTAGGAAAATGGTCCCACAAGTACAGATTTAATGTACGGTAATCAAGTAAGCTCCCTGAGAAAGCACAGCCTTTCATCAGGAGGAAGCCCAATACCTGCCCTCCCCTCCAAATATATATACACACAGGGAAGCAACTGTAGGCTGCCAGTTATTTCAGTTCCAACTGAAAAAGAACTGAGGATGAAGGAATTTCTTTGTTACTAGAAATCCTCCCCCCCAGGAAAGCAAGCCTCTTCCAGATGTGGTCCCTATCTTTTGTCCATGCAGTAGCACAGAGAGCAAGAGGTAACTTGTGATCACTTCTGATGCTTCCCACTGTCCAGCAGGAATTATGCGAAGCGTGCAGAGAACCAATGAGGGCAGCTCGGCACCAAGTGTGCAGTTTTACCATCTGTGTTTCACAAAGCTGGTAAGAAAAAAAATGGCAAAATAGCCTTTTTCTCTGCATCCCCTTTTCTCCCTTCAGATAATTTATTTAAAATACCCACTATACCTAAATCTTACTGACATCCACTCCACTTTCTGAATAGGAATTTCCCAGCAATGTGCTTATCAATCAGGTTATGAAAGAAATAATACAGCTACTGATATTATTAATCAAAACAGATGTATGAAATCTAAAATAAGCCAGCTTTTGGCTAGAGAAATAATGGCCACTGGTAATGCCAACTTGGATCACATAGTTCAGGAACTCACAACTTGAAAGAACTGGCAGACGCTTCTGAGACCTTCTCTCCTTTCTCATGTTCAACATGTAAAACTTGAAGCTAACCACAGGCATACAACTACTGATTGCCCATAGAAAGGAGTCTTGCAGTCTTGAAACAGACAATAGAGTTCTCTATGTGACAGCAAACATGAAAGGTAAATAGGATTCTCTTATGTCCCACTGCTCCAAAGAAACTGCTCTTATAGAGCTCTCCAAAGGCTACCAGGTTTCTAAAACCAAGGACTAGTAGCTTGAATAATGGCCACCCAAAGAGATCAAATCCTAATCCCTGGAATTTGTTAATCCCTGGAATTTATTTTATCTGGAAAACAAGGTCTTTGCAGACAAATTAAAGATTTTGAGTTTACCCTGTATTATCCAGGGGAGCCTAAATGATACAAGTGTTTCTGAGAAAGGGCACAGAGAGTTTGGAGAGATGCACAGAAGAGAAGGTGGTATCAAAATGGAGGTAGGGACTGTAGGAATGTGGTCCAAACCCAGGAATGCTGGGAAAGCTAGCAGAAGTTGGAAGAAGCAAGGAATGGATTCTCCCCCTAGAACCCCACAGAGAGAAGGCAGCCCTGCCAGATTTTGGACTTCCAGCCTCCAGAACTTCAAAAGAATAAATCTCTGTTGTTTTGAGTCATCCAATTTGTGGTAATTTGTTACAGCAGCCTCACAAAACAAATACACAGAGTTGGGTCTCTGATCTCCTCTCACTCCCTCCCCCACTCAACTGCATTCATCCAGAAGCATCCCTCTTAAAACTCTTTACTTTGTCTTCTTGTTCAGATTCTAGATCAAATTTACCGCCCAACCCTAGTTTTTCTCACCTCACTGCTCTCTTTTGGCCACCTTTGCTGGTTCCTCCTCCACAGTCAAGACCTTTATCTGGAGATCCCAGGGCTCAGTCCTCATTACCTCCACTTCTCCCTGGCTTTAAATATTCTATCTATACACTAAAGACTCACAAATATTCACCCTCATCCTAAACCTCTTCAACTTGCTCCAAACTCACATATTTAACTGCCTATTTGACAACTCAATATGCAGCTCAGAGCCAACATTTCAAACTGGAACTTCCAATACTCCCAAACTTGCCTGCTGCATCTTGTCCACCTTTATAAATGGTAACACCTTCTTTCCAGTTGTTCAAGTCAAAATCCTAGAAACCAACTTTGATCTCTCTTTCCTATAGTCTCTCATACACAATACTCAGCAAAAATCATTGCGTCTAATTCCAAACAGACCTCAAATCTATCTACTTCTCTCCTTTGTCAATGCTTCCACTCTGGCCACTGTTACCTCACAGCTGGACCACTGTAAATGACATTTTACTGGTCTCCCCATTTCCACTCTTGACCGCTTATAATGATTTTCCACAAAGCAACGAGGAATCTTTCAAAACTAAATTAGATCGTGCTGGGGTGCCTGGGGTGGCTCAGTCGGTTAAGCGTCTGCCTTCAGCTTGGGTCATGATCCTGGGATCGAGCCCTGCATCTGGGCTCCCTGCTCAGCAGGGGACCCTGCTTCTCCCTCTCCCTCTGCCCTTCCCCCTGCTCGTGCTCACTCTCTCACTTGCTCTATCTTTAAAAAAATAAATAATAAATTATTTTTATTTCTTGCTTAATGCCATCCAACAATTTCCTATTGCATTTAATACAAAATTCAAACACCTTTCCAAAACCATAAAGTTCCCTCACGGTCTCACTCTGCCTACCTCCCCCTCTTCTTTCTTACCATTTTGCTCCCCTCATTTACTACATTCCAACCACACTGGCCTTTTTTCTTTTCCTAGAATGTGCTGTAGAGCTCTTGCCCATGCTGTTTCCTCTACCCTTAAATCACAGTAAGAATAGCTCTTTCTTGTCACTCAGGTCCTGGTTGAAACCCCCTCAGTAG